GCTACTCTCCATGATCAACATACCGTCTACATATAGACATACAATTACAAACGTATTTGATGTACTCATAACATAAACACATTTGTCACATTCGTTGATTTTGAACCCATTTGACAACATCACGTCATCAGATTTCAAATTCCATTGTTTTGGAGCTTGTTTCAGTCCGTACAAGGATTTGATCAGTCTACACACCTTTTTCTCCTGTCCAAGTGCTACAAAACCTTCGGGTTGTTCCATGTAAATTTCTTCTTCCAATTCACCATTCAAAAATGCCGTCTTGACATCTATTTGGTGAATCTCAAGATTGTGCACCACAACAGTCGAGAGAAGCACTCTTATTGACTCTAAACGCGTAACTGGTGAATAGATATCAAAGAAGTCATACCCTTCCTCTCGTTTAAAGCCTTTTACCACTAATCGTGCTTTAAACTTATCAATCGTTCCATCAACTTTATATTTCTTCTTTAGTATCCACTTGCATCCTAAAGGTTTACAACCCGCAGGGAGATCAACCAACTCCCAAGTATGATTTTGCATAATGGACTTGATTTCACTATTTATAGCTTCTTCCCAGAGTGGTCTATCTGGGCTGGACAGAGATTCCTTAAGGGAACTCAGTTTATCGTCCAACATATACGTAATAAAATCAGATCCAAACATTTTTGCCGTTTTTACCCTTTTACTACGTCTCGGTTCTTCATCTTTTTCTTTAGTACCATCTGGTCCAGAACTGCTAACAGTTTCATACGTCCTTTTGTTAGAACTAGATTCTGCATTTTCCTTCGGAGAAAAAATATTTTCAAAGAATATAACATTCCTCGATTTAATTGTGGTACCAACTAATACATCTGGATTTTCTTATTTATGAACTCGAAATCTATATGTTGTACTATTGTACGCATATCCAATGAATATACAATCGACCGTCTTTGGTCCGATTCTCATTTGTTTGGGTTCAGGTACTGAAACCTTAGCCAAACACTCCCACACTTTCAGGTATTTATAAGACGGCTTATGATTTTTTCACATTTCGTAAGAAGTCTCATTTTTTTCTTTTAGGTAGTATTTTATTCAGGATATGATCTGCTGTTAAAACAGCTTCTCCCTCATATTTTGGGGTAATCCCGAATTTATCAACATGGCATTCATCATTTCTTTTAAAGTTCGGTTCTTGCGTTCAGCTATACCGTTCGACTGTGGAGAACAAGGGGCTGTCGTTTGATGAATTATGCCATATTCAGAACATATTTGTTCAAAAGGAGCTACATACCACCCCTATCACATCGGATTGTTTTAATCCTTTTGCCAAGGTGATTTTCAACTTCGCCCATATAGTTTTTAAATGCTTCCACAACCTCATCTTTGCTTCTTAACAAATATAAGTAGCAAAACCTTTTGCGATCGCCGATAAAAGTTATAAAATACTTTTTACCCGTTCTTGATTGCAAAATTTTCAGATCACATACATCAGTAATAGATTAAGCCCAATGGTTCAGTATTCCTTTCCACCGAATGAAAAGGTAACTTAGACATTTTGGATTCAACACAAATTTCACATTTTTTATGTGATTCAATTTTAGAATTAGGAATTAATTCTAAATTCATCAACGTTTAATTGCATTTAGATTTATATGACCCAATCTAATGTGCCATAAATCATAGCACTCAGCGGTATAAACAGAAATAGGCTTTTCATTCCCATTGAAAATAGTTACACAGCTCACGGCCATTACATTCATTTTAAATAATCCTTTGTCGAGGTAGCCACGCCAAGGAAAGTTCCAAACATGCTAAGAACAAACTTCTTAGTATCAAATACCAGCCTAAATCTATGATCAACAAGAAGAAATCTGGAGACCAAATTCTTGGGGATGTCTGGGACATGCAGAACATCCTTAAGCTTCAACTCTTTTCCAAAAGTTAGCTTCAGCACCACAGTGCCAGCTCCAGCCACATCAGACGTGGAGGAGTTTCCCATGTGAAGTTTCGAACCAGTAGAATGAGTGTATTCAAAAAACAACTTCTTGTCAGAACACACATGGCGAGTGAAACCAGTATCAATGTACCACTCCCATGGGTTGTCCACCATATTGACTTCAAACACCACAGCCGACATATCAAAGTCAGTCAGTTCACCCAGCACAAGGTCGTGTTCAGCAACAAGGGCACTCGGTTGCGCCTTCTTTTGCCCAACCTTCTTAGGCTTTCTACAATCCTTAGCCATATGGTTTGTCTTTCCACAGTTCTAGCAGGTGTCGGTAAACTTCCAAACCTTGGTTGGCTGCTTCCCTTTGTCAAGGGACTTCCTGTTGCTCGAGTTGCCTTGCTACAGCAAGTTAGCACGAGCCCTCATCATCGGGGTTTTTCCCGATGAATTATGGTTGTCCTTCTCAATACGAAGACGAACAACTTAGTCTTCAAGACTCATTTCCTTCCACTTATGCTTGAGGTAGTTCTTGAAGTCTTTCCAACCTGGTGGCAACTTTTTAATCACAGTCGCAACTTGGAATGAGTCGCTCAGAGACATTCCTTCGGCATGGATATCGTGCAAGATGAGTTGAAACTCTTGCACTTGAGACACGACGGTTTTCGAGTCGACCATCTTAAAGTCAAGAAATTCCAACACGCAAGTGCACTATTGGATAAGTAAGTGGTGCAATAGGTATAATTATTCAAGAGGGATCCACTATTTAATTACACTCAAAATTCTAACAGAATTCTCGATGGTGTACATGGAGGATGTTTTGGGGAAAAAAGGTGTTTGTGTGGGAGCGAATAAGCCATTAGTTGGATTTACGGTGGTGTCGGGATTCAAAATCAGTGCCCGCCCCTTGTTGTTGCTTTCTTTTTCATTTATTTCATT